CAATCACAAATCTGTTTTCTGTCTCTATGAATTTGCCTAGTCTGAACATTTCATATAAATGGAATCATACAATCTGTGCCCTTTTGTGACTGGCATCTTAAACTTAGCATAATGTTTTCCAGATTCATCCATGTGGTAGCATGTACTGGTACTCCATTCTTTTTTATTATTGAATAATATTCTATCGTATGGATATACCACATTTTATTTATCTATCAGTTGATAGACATTTGGGTTGTTTCCACTTTTTGGCTGTTACATATAATGCTGATATGAATATCTGTGTACAAGTTTTTGTGGAGATTTATGTGTTCAAGATATGTGTTTTTTATTATTGAATAATATTCTCTTTTATTGTCTTCTTCCATTTGATTCTATTGTCAATTCTGCCTTTTCTGATAACCTTCTCAGTAAGGGTAGAAAAATACTTACCATTCCATTTCTGTTAGTGTCACAATTTTATTCTCACTTTGAAGAAATGAAAGGCAATTAGCACTTATCTATCCTGTACGTAGTATTTATTTTTGCTTTCACTCTATTTCCCAGAAACTTACTAGAAAGCAAAAAATTACCTTTTATGTCTGTCTCCAAATCCATAACAATTTTAGCTCTCAAATCCCAGAATGTTCTCCCAGAGCTGTAAGCTCAATGAGGGCAGGCATTTTTCTTGTAAACTTTATAAGCAGCTGTGGTGACTGTGGAATAAGTATTTAAATGAGAATATGATTATTGTTTCATGTATAGAAGGACTTAATGTTTCGTAGACTGAATTATTTTTGTTAATTATGTACACATTTCTGATTGTCTAATGATTTTAGTTATTGTTTTTATGTGCAGATGAACAGGAGGCTAAAGACATGACAGAAGAATGTAAAGAATCCTAAGTAAGGACCTGCTGGGGTGTGCTTTTGAGAAAGTTGGTAATTAAGTTATATTACATTTTTGGGGAATATTTTGAATTCAATGAGTGTATTGTGGAGACTATTCCTCAAATATGATTTTGACATATGGGTTACATTTCTTTGATATTTTTGAGACTTGGGGTATATTTTGAGACTTGTTCAATGGTTTTCCTTCATTGAAATTTCTGGGAAAATTTTTAATAAATTTATTGCTAATCTTGCAATATCAGGGATACATTATAAAAACTAACATTTCAATGTATACGTATTATGGTGAAACTAGGTGGAGTGCTATTGTATGTTTCAACTTTATTGTGATTCAGACAGATTGTGGTCACTATGAATTTTTGTTCTGGCCCTGCTTTTCCTTCTTGTCACCTGTCTAATGTCTGTTAAACAAAGCTTCCTACAGCTTGCCATACAAAGAGGTGAATTTTCTCAGCAAAACAATGTTAGGAGAGCCTTTGGTATCTTATTAGCAATGATGCTTTTCTTAAGTAGGAGTTTAACTGGATTATTTGATATATTATTTTTGGTTTTCTATTTTCTTTTAGAGTTTGGGCCTTTTAGAATGCAGCAAATAAAGGTGAACTCCTTTTAAAAAAAAATCTGTGACAGTATTTTAAGAGAGAAGGTTGGTCTAGTTACAAGTCAGTAACCTAGATTCAGAGAAAATTTTATGTTGACAGCCCATAAGATGAATTGGCATTAGTCCTAGAATTCCAATTTTTTTCTGATTCAAAAAATGAGCTGGCTGTTGTTCTGCCTTTAATAAAATTTGCTGGCACATGTTCCTCTACTAATATTGAATAACATTAGTAATTGCTTACCTCAATTTCCTTGACTTCTTTTTTGTTTTTTTTTTTTTAAGAAGCAGAGTCTAGTTTTGTCACTCTCGGCTGGAGTGCAGTGGCATGATCATAGCTCACTGTAACCTCAAACTCCTGGGCTCAAATGATCCTCCTGCCTCAGCCTCTCAAGTAGCCTCTATAGGCGTGCATCACCATGCCCAGCTAATTTTTAAAATCTTTTTTGTAGAGATGGGGGTCCTATTGTGTTGCCTAGGCTGGTCTTCACCTCCTGGCCTCAAGCAATCCTCCTGCCTTAGCCTCCCAAAGTACTGGAATTATAGGCGTGAGCCACCATACCCAGCCTCGTTGACTCTTTAAGATGAAAAATTCTATAGGTACTATTTTCAGAGGTATTGATTGACATAATGCCTTCTGTTTTTTCAGCCCTTCATTTCAGTTTACTGTTTATTCATTGAAAATAACAATGGTCTGTGCTGATGTCAATGTGCTACAATGTAATTTTTCTTGATGCCAAGAGTTTTGCTGTGGAATAACAGCAGAAGTTAGAAAAGTCGTGATTTTAGATTCTCATAGGAATGTCATGTGGCACTCCTGTGTGTGTCGGGTTTGGGTGGGAACAATCAGAGGGCAGAGGTGGTAAGGGTGGGAATTTGGAGTGGGACAGAGAGGAGCCATTGTTGTCCATCAGCCTGTTAGAGGAGCTCAGCTTTCTAAATCCATGCTTTCCTGGTATTTGATGTGTGTGTGTGTATAAGGGAGAGAGAAAGAGAGGCAGAGACAGACAGATATAGAGATAGAAAGAGACAGAGAGATGGGGGAAAGGGCAGGGGAGGAGAGGACAGAGAAACAGAGAAATTATTTCTAGAGTGGTACTACACAGGGCTTATGACTTTGTAGCGTGTTTCTGCAAATGGTATTCGGAGCACAGTGAGCCTTTCTATTATTTAGGAAAGGGGAAGAAAACAGACTGATTTAAAGTAATGAATTCTGCCATTAAAAGAGGTGACATCATTCCATAACATGTCAACTGAAGGTAACTCTTAACAAGGACTGGTGAACTAATTTATAATTCAACACAGAGGTTCCAGATTTTAGAAAGTTACTCTGATTTAATAAGTTGTTATTAAAAATAAGAGCTTTTATTTTGAGGTTCCCTTTAGGCCTGTTTGCCCCAGAACAAGATAAAGAATAAAAATTATATGAGAGAGAGAGCTAATTCATTTTAAGAATGAATTTGGAAGCCTAAAATTTGAGATTTTTTTTTATATATGACTCTTTAAAAACTACTGGCACCACCTTTATTGTAAATTCCCATAGGACCTAAAGTTTATTGCTCTTCAATCTAACTCTCCTGCAACGTATGACAATAAACTCTTATAGGAGGAAAAGTTATCATCTTGATGACGTAATTTTAAAATTTAACAAGTTCTTTATTTCACTATAACCTGCTGATTTCAAGGTCAGTTTCAGGGTGAAAATGGGACATGCTTGGAAAAAAAGCTACTGTTCCCAGCCACTTTTTCTGTCTCATCTTGATATTTTCAATCATTTTTGCTCCACTACCTAAAAATGAATTAAGAATTCTGTCCCAGGGCTTCACATGTTGCACTACTCTGAGAATGCACAAGTCATGTTTTGAAGAATTATTTCTTTCAGATAGGTTTTCCTAACTCCACAACCATTATCAACACTTTCTAATTCTTGCTTCTTCACCTTGGCACTATAAAATGATTTGGCAATTGACACTTATGTGTGATTACGCTACCCAGATAGGTGATTTTAGAATGAGAGAGAAAAATCAACAAGGGAGGAAGATTCTGTCTCATTCAGTCAGTCTTTCCTAGTGATTAGTAGACCTCAAAGCCACATCTCTAACCTACTCATAAAATTTCTTCTTTAATCTATTTTTATTAAACCTGGAAATTGGTCAGTATTTCACATTCATGATTAGCCCATCCAAAAATCAAGGTCTGCTTATTGTAACAGTTGGGCCTTCCCTTCACAAAATAATTTTATATTTACACACACACACACACACACACACACACACACACACACATTCTCTCTCTCTCTCTCTTTCATGCATTCCTTCCGAATTTTACATTTTTCTTTGGTAATCTGCTTTTCACCAAAGGTGTTATTTATTCATAGGTATCACAAAAAGTGATATCTATAATGTTTGATCAACTCTTCAAGGGCAATTCCTCCCTGATACACATTTAGTTTCGCAGCTTCTCCACAACACGCGATCATTCATGGGTCAGAAAATGGAGTTGCAAGAGTTGCATGTGCTTCATAGCTGTTTTTACCTTTGTTTTTGTTGTTCTTTTTAGAGACAGAACTGGAATTTGAAAAGGATTCAATAAATGATATTAATAAAATATTAAATTCTATTCGTTTGAGACCCTTGACTTAGGGGTCATTTCTCTTTTATGTTTTTAATATGGCTGGCTAATTTATTGTTTTGTTCTTTTATCTCACAAACTCAGCACATTCTCAGCCTAGCCTGAGCAAACTCAAGTCTTTCGAAATCAAATAAAAACCGTGAATATTACTGTTATTTACTGTAATTTCTTTTTGTGTATGCTGTATTGGTTTAAGGATGGTATTTACCCATATCTTCATAACATAAAGGCAGTAGAGAACACATAAACATGGATACAGTAAGTATAAATATAAATTTCCATATGATTTATTGTTGTTCCTTATACATAAGAAACAGTAATATACAACTTACACTGCTTTAGAATGTAAAATGGATAAAAATGTGTACAAAAAAAGCACATTCCTAGAAAAAAGTATTGGCAAGTAGTAAAAACTTGGGGGGTGTAAAAAGCAAAAATCAAATCAAAACAAAACAAAAAAAGAAAAACAATTCTTCAATTCAGTGTGCAAACATTATATAAAAATAGAAATACTAACTCTACAGGCAGTATTTCCTGATAAATTACTTAAATAGCATATCTACACAATCTGAGATATCTATTCCAATGGCAATGAGAAAATAATTTATAAAAATAAAGCAATGGTATACAAGATGATAGGAAAAAAACATAACTTTCAGAAATGGTATTTAACATTTCAATGCTATTTCCTTATTGGGAATACTTTTCTGCAAAGAGTTTTTATACTATGTACAACATTGACTTTTTTTTAGGTACTACAGTAGCTTTAAGTTTGTTAGACACTTAAACTCTTTCTGCTTGATCCAAAAATTCTTTACTCAGTCACACAACAAATGAGGTAATATTTGTATATAAGTTTCACGTTTGTCATTTTTTTTCTCTTTTGGAAAAATGAAAAAAAAAAAGTGTACATGCTTTCCTTCTCCCTGGAAATAGGCATAAGGGATGGGGTAAAACAGTATATGGAAGACCTCATGGCTTTCTTTGTAATCTACAACACTCACAAATGCATAACCAACTAATTCCACTTGGAAAGACAAAACAAAGGCAAAAAAAAAAAAGAATCCCAAAACATTCATTCTAAGCACAAAGGGAAGAGCAGCTTGTTATGCTGATTTTCTTTGTGTCATTCTTGACAGAGATTTGCTGCTAAATCTCAGCTACCTGCTCTCAAACACTTTCCATATGAAACCTAAATTCCAGGCAGAACAGAGTTAATAAATAATCTGTATTTACAATCTTATAGTCATGAAGACTCCTAACAAAGATGATATGGATAGTCCTTCGGCTTCTTCCTTTTCCATGAATAAATCCTTCAGCCAAATCTTCCAGAAGCATTAAAAAATAAATATTTTACATTGTAAAGCATCTGTAAAAAACAAAAACAAATCTACAGTCCAAAAGAGAGAACTGGAAAACTCTATGATAATTCAGGAAAAAAGAGAGAAAAGGAATGTTTTAGTTAGGTTGCTAATAAGTTTGTGCCTTTCTAACCATAAAAATATAAGCACAGCTGCCTGTCCTTTGGGAGGCAGCTGGTGCTCACTGAGATGGTAGGTTTTCCTATTTTCCTGCTACATCTGCACAAGCTACATCTGGAATAAAACGAACAATTTCACTGTGAGCAGGCAGTGGCAGCCAGCACTGTCTTACACTGGTTTAATCCTGACTCCCTGCTCTAGCCACTGCAGGTGATATGTAAGGGGTGGCGGTCAGGGAGGAAGTCCAGAAGCCAGTCTTTCCCTCCCTTCCCTGCTTCTGTTTAAGTGCCTATTTACGTGGATTAATCAGTTAACACCAGTCAGCATCATGAAATCCAGCAAGAGTCTTTCTATCCCCTGAAAATGACTT